CTACGCCAGCTCTAGTGGCCGGGGAAACGAGGCTGCAGGAGGCGTAGGCCGCCGGGAATCAGCTTTGAACAGCTGCGTTCGGGCTCCCGCGACAGCCCAGGGTAGGGAATTACTGGCGCGGTGCTGCCTTCTCTGGATGGTCGAGAGGCCGCGGAGGCCCAGTTCAAGGTCACTGTCTAGTCTGGAGAAAGCGGTTCTGCCACGTATGCAAATGAGGCAGGGCTGCGGGGCGGGGGGGGGGTGGCTAAAGAAGTGGAAGTCGGCGCTGAGCCGGCGGGGGACCGGGTTGAACCGCGGCAGACCGGGAGCGCCTGGGCCCCGCCCAATTCCTTGACCCTCTCCACCTCTCCTCCGCGGAACAGCGCAGGCTTGGGACCGGACCTGAGTCAGTTTCCCACAGGGCTGGGTCGGGGTAAGGGGCTCATTCTCCTCTTCCATCACTTCATTGGCTCCTCTAGAGGTCAGAGCTCACCTGGCTCCCAGCCTTCCCTGCGTGTGTCCAGGACCTAAAGATCAAACTGGGAGACCCGTACTCCAGTGCTGCTTTCTAGTGATCTGCAGCAGGACGGGGGCTTGGAGGAAGGTTGGGTGAGGGAGCCCAGGCAGGCTTCAGCCTGGAGCTCCTGGGATCTTGCGGCTCTTTGGGGGCCCCTTCCCGCCAAATCCTCCCGGCTCGATTGCCATTCAGGAAATGGGGAGAGGGTGAGAGTTCCCAGGAGAGACCATTTCTTCACACACACACACACACACACACACACACACACACACACACACCATCATTCCTAAATGAGCCATCTTCCTCGGGTTTTCTCTGCCCTTTCTGCGGCGCATTAACAGTTAAATACACCACAGCTCTGACATTTTCCCCCTCCGCCAGCAGAGGATCTCCTCCGCCTAGTGAATTACTGAGTGTCAAGAAAGGTGTAGGGAACAAGTTTCTTAAAAAAGACTCATTAAACACCACACCCACAGCCTCCTGTGGCGCAGTCCTCAGCCCCAGGCCTGGTCTCCACGGACCTGGAAGCTAGGTTTGGGGGTGGGGGTGACGGCTACACCGAGTACCCTCGTCCCTCGGCCGGCCCGCTGACTCTGACCATGTCCACTGACCAGGCTCAGCGTGGAGGGGGCCTGAGATCTGTTTGTGGTCTGCTCAGTATAGCTACCCTTCTGTTTCCCAAACCCAGAGCCCCAGTCTTGGCCCAGCGGCGCCAGGAGACTGGGGTTGGAGCAACCGGCCCTAGAGGCTGGTGGGGGTGGGAGAATGTACTGCCAACGCTGAAGCTGGCTGGGCTGAGAAGGAGGGGGTCCACTTACCTTTGGAGATCAAAGAGGACGAGGGGCGGGGGTTTTCAACCTCCAGAAACCTTCTAGTTGCCCCCTCCCTAAGGCCGCCCCGCAGGCCCTAAAGAGGTATCCGAGGGGCGGGGCGGGAGAGGCGGAGGGATCGGCCACCGGCAGGCGCAGGAGCTGAGTTGTTAGAGCATCTCTGGAGAGGCCGCCTTTTATGGGCGTTATTAGCGCCCCTGTCTAGACTGGAGACGACACCTCCTCTGTGTGTAAACAGAGGCGGCGGGCCCAGGCGGGAAGGGGGATGTCGCGTCTAAGGAGCAAGCGGCCCTCCCTTCTTCTGGCCACCGGAAGATCAAGGCCTTTTCCACCCTCCCCCCTTTCCCTGTGCTCCCTGTGATGTCAAGGTCAGAAAGACCTAGTCACGGTCAAGGCTAAAAGAGGAAGAGCCTGGTTGGTTGTGAAAAGGCGCTGGCCCCCTCCTCCTCCTCCTCCTCCCAGAAGCCCCTGGCTCCCCAGGGCCCCTCAACCCTCCACCAACGTAGGTCTAGATAACCATCTGCCTGAACCGGGACTTGGAGTTTGCTCGAGGATGGGCCTGATACCAAGACACTCAGGCGGATCCTGCGGTGTTCTCTTTTGTACAGGATGACGCTGCAAGAGAGCTGCTGCAGGAACCCCAGCTCCAACAGGAGAGCCTTTTAGAGAGACGGCGCCTAGCACCCATACTGGTCTGCTGCCCCCTCCCCTCCACTGCTGCCCCAGCTGCCTGTGGATCAAATTCAGGAGAAGAAGCTCTCAGGAGGGATCTTCGAGAGAACTGCTGACCTTGTTCCCTCAGGTGGGTTCCGGGGAAGGGACTACTAGCTGAATGGCCTATATAGTGATGGCCCTGGGTCTGAAACTAACATTGGCAGGGAAGAAATTTTCTCCCCCAAAACTCAGAAAAAGATCTAGCTGAGCATGTCCTGGCAGCCTGGGAGCGTGACCTTCATATGGAGGGTACTGTGAGTAAGCCCACCTATCCACTCAGCCCTGGCATCAGACTATGAGAAAGACAACAGGAGAATCTCGGTTCCTTGGTCGGTCAGTTTTCAGAGGGAAACTTCTGTGTATGGTCTTTTAGACCTCTGTGACCCCCTATGCCCTCATGAAAGCTTACTCTAACACAAACACTAGAGACCAGCCTCAGAGAGAATGACCTCTTAAAGGTATGAGTAAAGAGGAGAAAAATTGGCTCTACACCCTGAGATGAGTATCCAGGCTGACAACATTCTTATGTATACATTTGCACACACACAGACAGAAATTCTCTATTGCTCAAGGCCACACACACACATGTGTGCACGCGCACACACACACACACACACCTGCCTTACAAGAATATCTATCTCGAAAAGCCCCTAATGACAATACCAACTCATATTGGGAAGATAAGAAACCAACACAATTAGGCAAAGAATAATACATTTCTCAACTTTGCCCTCCCAGAACACACACACACACACACACTCACACAGTGTTTGCTTGCTCTTATAAGAGATGCATCACCAAAGCCAAAATTAATCCAGGCACAATAATCCTCCTCCAAAATCAGTCTGGGTATGTTTAATCCAGTCCTTGAGAGAGTCTTACACACCCTGGCACACTGGAACTGCAGTCCTTGCTTCATCAGTGTCCCAGTACACCCCAAATAAACCCACAAAGCTTTCCTGTTCTTTTCTGTCAGCCCTTCTAGGGTCTTAGGATGGATTCCACAGTATGGGAAGATTTGATTTTTTTTTTAAAGAAGGGATCTCCATGTGTTGCCCAAGTGGGCCAAAACCCCTGGACTCAAGTGATCCTCTTATTTCAGCTTCCCAAGCACCTGGGACTGTAGGCACACACAACTATACCCCGATAAGACATAATAATTTGATTAATTGTGGGTTTAGATGCAGAAGTGGAAGAATCTCTGAGAAAACTTTAGACTTTTCTTTATCCAGAGCCCCCAACTTCCACTGTGTCTACAGTTGTGTCTTGGGACTACCCTAAACAGTCAAGAGGACTGGAGACCATATCAAAAGAGCCCCAGTATTCTTGTCCAAACACATATTCAGTCTCCAAATCTGGAGAGATCCAGGGGTTTTCTGAGAGGGTGGTTGGTGGGAATAGATGGGAGATGGAATTAAAAGTGGATGTTATTCCTTGGAAATTCATCTATTCCCTATCAGATCTCTCTGCCCAGTGTGTGGTTCTCTGGTGCTCAACCCAGAGTCCTGTTGACTACAGCAGAACTGGCAGCCACAACAGTAGCAGAGCCTCCACAAGGGGAGGGTGAATTGTCAGGCTCAGGCTCTTTGTCTTTTAGACTCTGTGTGTGTGTGTGTGTGAGAGAGAGAGAGGGAGAGAGAGAGAGAGTTTCATCCTCACAAACATTTAATGAAATTTTAGAAGCTTCAGCCCCATCAGGCAAAGAGAAAGACAGAGAACTCTGATTTCCAACCTGATGCCTCCGCCTCCAGTCTTTCAGTGTCTCATGAGAGGAAAAATATTATATATAAATAAAAATTGCTGCAGTAAAGATTTAATCTGAGATAACATTGTTTTAGGCTATATTGCTTTTTAAAAGTCTCTTAACCTGACAACTTAACGATCTCATTAACTCTGCCAGATAGGGAGATAGGCACAGAGGCGCGACAAGCAAAACAAATTAGTGGCAGCACCTACAAGGTTCCTGATTGCCTGGAAGAATGGGGTTCCCAGGAATGTTAAAGAGTGAAAGCAGTGCTGGCTTGGCAAACTAGGGGCCCAAAGAGTACTAGCATCACAACCCCTCTGCACAGGTTAAGGGGAAGAAAATAGTATAGCCAGGGAAAGTTGAGCTCAAAGCTGCCCCTGGCAGGCTGTATAATCCCCATTCCAACCCCAACTGCAGCCCTGAAGTGGCCAGAGATTTGGGAACCTCTGGGAGCAGTAGGACTCCAGAGGCCTAATGGTAGCTTCCCACCACCTCTGTTGGCACCCCTGCCCCACTCTGCTCCTAGCTGCTGGGGTGCTGCCTTCTTAGCACTCAGAACCAGATCTGAGCCCCAACTGGTGTGTGTGTGTGTGTGTGTGTGTGTGTGTGTGTGTGTTGCTGGGATCAAAGCCAGGACCCTGTGCAAGGCAGACAAGCACTCTACCACTGAGCTCTATCCCCAACCCTGAGTCCCAGCTATTAATGGAAGTGGGCAGCAATGTCTTTTTCTCACTTACCTACTTCTTGGGCTTCTCAATTGCAGATCGCATCTTTCCCACCCTCAACATAAGATCCTCTAAATTGGGGATCAGGATAGGAAGTTTCCTTTTGTCTAGATAGCATAGACAACCAAAATAGCTCAAAAACTTAAGTGTAGCAAAATATAGGTTGGCGATCTGCCAAGCTAGGGATGATGTCTATACGCTTCCCCCTGCCCATTCTGGCTAAGTCAGGACATCCATAGATATGGTAGGCTGACCTGAAGGGCCAGTAGACAGAAGGGGCTTCAGAAGGAATCTGAGCAATAAAATCAAGGCCAAAAAAAAAAAAGATATTTTATTTTAAAAACAGGTTTGTGGGTTGTTTTTGCATTCAGTACATTGTCACCCAGACATCACAATACTATATACAGATACACAACATTAAAAAAAAAAAGAGCCTATTTCTGATGGACATTTGAAAAGAACACTGTTTTGTAATGTGCCAGTGGGAAGGGAGGAGGTAAGGAGGACTCCCACAGCACCAAGTTGGCTTTCAAGGAGGGTAACGTTAGGCAGCATCTACATTTAGGCAGCTAATTGGGGGCCAGTTATTTTAGCCTCCTAGGCTAGCTCCTTTAGCTTTCCTTGGGAAATCAGTAGAAATGAAAGTGTGAAACCTCTCCCAAGGTATTGGTTTGATGGACTGGTGGCTGGAGAGGAACTCTGCTGTGGCACCTACTCTCCATCCCCTGGGAAGAGAAATTTATGCTTGAGAAAAAGTTCTGCTTTTGAGCTTGGCCTAATTACAAGCCTCACTAGGGGAGAGGAGAGGTAAGCTGCATTTAGCAGAGTGGTTGGAGTTTTTGTCCTTCTTGGATTTCCACGTGACTGAGAATGCAGAGCAGGGAAGGGCAAAGACAGCTTTGAGAAATTATTTTTGGGTCAGGGTTGAGCAAAGGGCTGCACCAGCTCCAGCTTTTGTTGAAACACAAAAGAAAGAAAACGTACAATCTCCAAGCATGGTCTGTACTCCAATCACGCTGCCAAGTCCCTAATAATTATCATTAATATTAACATGACTTAAAAATATGCACAGAAAATCATAACTGGAAAATCTTGCCTATGGAGTGTGGGAGGAATGGAGACAAGGAGGTACTGGAAGGAGAGTATGAGCTCACCGGATCCTGCGCCCAAGCTGCACCCTTCAGGAAAGTCATCCACCATCCTGGGCATAGAGAGGGGCAAGGTCATTCGGGATCTCCCAACCCAGCTTTGGTTGGAATGACTGGGCTCTCCGCTGACACTCGGCTTTTTGGTGAGGCCGGGAGCAGGAGCGAGGGCCAAGAGGAGTAGAGGCCAACAGCCTTCCACCCACAACCCACCCAGACCCACCTCCAAAGCTGCTGAAATCCTGTGGGCACCATCTGGATGGGGGTGGAGGTGGGGATGGGAAAGGGAGTAGGGTAAGGCCCAGCGCTGCCTCAAGACTCTGCCACCCAGCGCGCGGTTCCTCTTTCTCGTCAAAATTAAATACTTTCTGCACCGGGCGCAGGTCCTTCGTCCTTCAGTGGGTTCGGTTATGGTACAAAGCGGAGACATAAATAGACGGGGTGGGCGGCCTGGTGGGCGGTCAGGTCAGGTGGAGTGAAGATGAGGTGCTTTCGATTTGCTGACCACCTTCTTCTCTTTCACCCGCCGGTTCTGGAACCAGATGGTGACTTGGCGCTCGGAGAGGTTCGTGGTGGCCGAGATGCGCCGGCGCTTCTCTTTGGTGATGAACTTGCTGGCCGCGTACTCCTTCTCTAGCTCCTTCAGCTGCACCTTAGTGTAGGGCACACGTTTCTTGCGCCCGCGCCGGTAGCTGCTCACCTCGGGCTGTAGGGGAACCACGTCTAGGGAGGAGAGAGAAGGCGGGCGGGAGGAAGTGAGGTGTGAGGCTGGACCCGGTAGGAGCCGCGAGACTGCCTAGGCGCAGGATTTCAGCATCCACTCAAAGGGTGCTGGCGGATTTCTCTGCCTGATGAAGCCCTCTAATCCTTTGCACCTCAGTTATTAGCAGGGCCACAAATAGGGAGGTCGCTGGAAAAGGGCTCCCAAAACTAATCAAGATAGTATTTTGATGCAATTTTTAAAAAATCAAATGGAATGCCAAAAAAAAAAAAAAACACCACGATGAATAAAGTATCTTTTTTTTTTTTGGTACCGGGGGATGGAACTCGGGTCCTTGTGCTTGCAAGGCAGGCGACAGAACCACTGAGCTAAATCCCCAGCCCACAAAGCATTATTTTTTACTGTTTTTTGTTTTGGTTTGGTTTGGTTTGGTTTTTTTGTACCAGGGATTGAACTTGGGTCCTTCTGCTTTCGAGGCAGGTGGTGGAACCACTGAGCTAAATCCCTGGCCCAAAAGCATTATTATTTAAACAAACACAGGATCAGTATCACTGATTTTTCCTTTCCCCCCAGTCTCCACTGAGGCTCTACAGGGCATATAAGGAACCTTGGACCCTTTGAGGGGATCTTCCAAATTTCCTCTGGCCTTCTTTGCCTGCAGGATTTTGGGTATTTGGAAAAATCCCATCTTCCAGCAGTGAGCTCAGTTGGATGCCAATCACCCTGTACTCTGCTCCATTGTCTGAGGAAGGAGCCCTGTAGTATGTTTAAAGAGGGCAGGGCAGGCAGAGGTCAGCTTCAATGGGCACAGACCAAGTGGGTCCTCATGCTTTTGGGCACTAGCCCTGTACTAGGGACCTGAAGCACCAACACAAGAAAGGAAGGACATGTCCAAGCAAAGACAGCCTGCTTGGGAGGCTGATTGCTCTAGAAATGGGGGCTCAATGTTGTGAATTATACCCAAGTTGGGAGGTTCTGCCTTGAAACATAGGAAATCAGACCCCTGTAAGCAGGGGATTCACACCCAGGTCCCCCAAAAATGTAGCAAATTCTATTCCAACCCCTCACCCATTCCCTTCCTTCAAGGATGAAGAAAACTATCTATGCACCAACCCTAACCCGAAACCCAAACCTTGTCATGTCAAGAATTATCAGTTCAGTTTCTTCAGACTGAGAATTTCACAGGAACTAAAAATAATATATGTGATTCATTCCCATCTTCCACTCCCCACCCTCAACCCTGGCAGTAAAAGGTCATAGTAACACTTTCAAGGGGAAGTGGTAATGAAGGAGATTATCAAACAACAGTCCTTAATTTTTCCCATGTAAACTGTTAGACTTCATCAGGCAGAACCTATTGAAAGGGACTGGATAGCTGGGGTTTCCTCTTCAATCATACTGTTCTCTGACACTGGAAACATAGGCCAGAGTGAGATACCACTTTCCTCTGAAATGCTTCATCACACCTCACTCTCACAAAACACCTTCCTTATACCAATTCCCGTTGGGTCTGCAGGATGAAGGATGGAGACAGAAGAGGCCACAATCAAATATAAGGGGAAACAGCACTTAGAAAAAAAATATGGGACCAAGGAGGGTGTCCAATGGCCTGCTTTGGCTGTCTTCATGGTAATTTTTTCTCAGGAAAACTGTCCAGCTTGTCATTTTTCTCTGCTTTTGTGTAAATGAGCCAAGTTTTTTTTTTTAATCTGAAAAACAAAACACCTTAACTTTAACAGACAAGATCATTTGGACTAAAAAACAGTTTCTGTACAAGGTAAGTTTAAAAAAATCTTTCAGTTCTCAAATTGTTTTATTCTTATAGATATTACCATGGTTGGGGAAACTGATGATTCAAGGACAAGAAAAATGAATGGGGTGAGTTGTGACACCTTGAGTTTTTGGTTTTGTTTTTAAGTCCTCCGAACATTTTTTCAGGTTTATTCTATTAAACCCATTTTACAAATTCTGGAATCAGAGGCCCAGAGTGGGTAAAATACCTTAAACAACAGAACAATATTTTAAATGCACACTTTTCTAGCTCTTAAAATAATTTTACAATATATTTGAAAATGGAAATAGGCCACCTAAAACAACCTAGCTTTGAAACATCTCTTTTTCCCTGATGAGAAAAAGAGACTAGTTTCTGAATTAACCACGTATTTGTCCCTGAGTTTCTTTTTCAACCTCACTTTCTGTAAACTTTAATAATTACTTATTCAATTTCAATGCCCTTGGGGCTGGGGATTTAGCTCAGTGGTTTCGCTGCCTGCTGCATAAGCGCAAGGACCAGAGTTGGATCCCCGGTACCAAAAAAAAAAAAAGCAAAACAATTTCAGTGCCCTAAACTCCAATTCTAAATTCCCAATGATGTTTAATAAACACAATCCTAAAAGATCAGTTTAAGAAGTAGGCAACTGGTCTGAACTGATTATTTTTCTCTACAGGATGTCAAGGACTGATTTGGCTAAGTTTCCTGGATTAGACCAAATTGCAGATTGTTCTGACCTCCTCTGGAGATAACTCCAGTCTTGCCTCCTGAAAGAAGCCCCCTTTCACTGTCCGCTGCCTATGGAAAGGAAGTGGGAGCTACAGATGTGAGAACATCTGACACCTCGAGCTGTGTCTACACTGCCTAAAATGAGCACAGACTTGGCTATTAATTTCACAATCACCCCTCCCCTAGTCTCTTCCAGATCACATACACCAACCACTTTATACCTAGGGGCATAATCAACACCTTCGATAAAGAATAAAAATCAGATCAATGCTCAGCTGCAGCTTTCTCTTGGGACTTCAGGGGACTTTCTGTGTACAGGTTCCCACAGTCCACCCACTCCTGATTACCTACCCTTAAAAGCAGGCTCTGGGCTCTGAAGAGTATCTTGTCCAGATAGAAATCCTGCTAGCTCCTCTTCTTATCCCAAATGCTCTATTGTTTTCTCTATTTTTCACCTTCAACCCCATCTCTTTTTGTCTCTCCTCCTTAATTCTCTCTTGGAAATTTTGTATCAGAAAGAAAGAAAGAAAGAGAAAAGAAAGGAAGAAGAAAGAGAGAGAGAGAAAGAAAGAAAGAAAGAAAGAAAGAAAGAAAGAAAGAAAGAAAGAAAAGAAAGAACAAAAGAGAGAGAAAGAAAGAAAGAAAGAAAGAAAGAAAGAAAGAAAGAAAGAAAGAAAAGTGTATACTCACTATTGAAAGGAAGGGAAAAAAAAGAGAGTAATGAAGCAAGGGTCTATATAATTGGGAGAAGAAGGAAGCCACAACAGATCTCATCCCTAATTATCTGGATCTTTCTGAACAATTGCCTCCATCTCTCACACCAGCCCAGACTGCCGTAGATGAGGTTTCTCAGAGCCAGAGGCATTGAAGAGAGACAGTGGTGTTTATGCCTAGATGTTGCCGACCAAACCATAATTGCATAGACAGAGTTATCTGGAAATCTCACTACTTCTAAAAGATCTGTGTGGGTAGAAAGATGGAGGGTGTCTGAAGATAATTTCTTTTTCATCTGCCTCTTGTTTGGACCTCTGTACTCACAGAGATACAACAGTCCGGCTCTATTTCCACACAGACAGGGTGTGAGCACAAAGCTGCTGAGGCAAGCTGGGTTTTATATTCAATTCCATGCCATAATTTGTAAGTGTATTAAATCTCAATTGGGCTATATTTTTTAAATTTCAAAGATATTTTTCTCTAGGAGGCTGTGATCAAAACATGTTTATTTTAAATGAAGTTTTTTTTCTTGTAAAAGCCTTTGAAATGTTTGCTTTGCTTAAAGATATTTCTGAGCTTCTCTCCAATCTTACCCTTACTGAGATACTGGAGCATTTTTCTCTTTCACCTCTTCACTCTAAACCTTTGCCCATTGTTGTGGGCCTCTGCTCCTGACCACAGTGGGCCTGGTGGGCACCTGCTCCCTGCCCATGAGCCCCTTGGCATAAACCATGAGCTCCACTGCCCCAGGAATTCCTGCTGGACCCTCATCTCCTAAGAGACTTTTTGTTTTGGTGAGATAAAGAAATAAAGGGCAGGCTCTCTATAGTATATCTACATGCAAACTATCTTCTAGAAATGTATTATGTGTTTCATATTAGGTGGCTAATAACAATCTTACAGCCAATTCAGAGGTGACGCGTGATACCATATACTACAATGTTATTATCATCAATGCTGGCAATCAGAAATGGAATGCCTTGTGTTGAGTCCAAGCTGGTATTGAGTTGTGTTATCCTAAGTAATGTCATAATGTCTACAAGAATGTTATTTACTACATTAACAATATCTAAGCACTTTTTTGGCAGTACTAGGGATTGAACCCAGGGCCTTATGTCTGTTAGGAAAGCCCTCTACCACTGAGCCACCTCCCCAACCCTTATTCAGTGATTCTTCACTGCCTACCTCTGTTTCCAATCCCAGATGCAGAGGAATTTCAGGCCCACCTTTAGGGAGTCTTGGGGTCTATACTTTCTAATGAAATCATCCCTGGGCCTGCATGCTGGGGGATCCTCTGGGTGGTATGGTAAGATGTCTATGGCTGCTCTGCCCCCCCCATAGGCTTCAGAAGGGAGGACCATCTCCCACTGAGCTCCATTTACACGAAGAGCAGCCTCAAATATGGAATTATCTAGATCCAGAGAAATTCTTATTTTTCAAGTAGAGCAAAATCTAAAGCTCCTGATGTGATTTTGGGAAACTTGGGACTGGTCTTTCTCCTCTTGGGAGGGTAAGAGTTGCTTTCCTATGAAGATAGCCTCCACTGGAAAAGGAAAAGGACATCAGAGAATTCTCCCTTCCCATACGCAGCCAGATAAGACCTAGGAGTCCAGCCAGTACCCTGGATCCCAGATTTTCACAAGTCTCTTTTCTCCACCATTTATCCCAGGCCTCTTTTCTCTCTCTGGGGCATGGTAAATGACTCTCCACCACTTTATGGGGAGTTGTCAGTGGAAACATTCATAGTATTTGAGCTCAGTGTACCAGAGAGGTAAAGAAAATTTTATATCCCAGGAGAGGGGTTCGTGCCCTCTTCTCTCCACTCCCTCTCCCGAAATTATAGCTCTTCTCCCTAAACAATCAGAACATTCGGCTGAATTTTAAAAATAAATCAAGGAAAAAAGCCCTACATGTCTGCAAACTGCAAGTTATATCCCTATTTTTTTAGAAAAATAATGCCTGAACGATCCTGAAAATTCAGGCAAACAAGTTAAGGGTTTTTAAAAAATATTTTTTCCTCCAATTATTCATTGGGTTGAGCGTTTTGTCCTTGATTCCAGGGCACTGGAGACCCAACGTACTCCCATTCCCTGCCAGAACCCGGTTTAGGGACCAGGAACCCCGCTGGAGGCTGCAGCGGGCTGGGGGAGGAGAAGGCACGCTCCAGAGCAGAGCCCGAGCCGGCGGCCGGGCGCTTGGGCGCCTGTGATTGCTTCACTCTCGACCGGGCAGCTCTGAGGAACGTGTCGGAGCAGATTTCTTCCCCAGCGCATTCGCATTCCTCAGCTCAGCTCGCCCGGCCGGCTCCTTCGACAGCCTAGCCGAGCCGGCGCGCCGGGGCCAGACGGCGGGGGTGGCTGGGGCGCGGAGCCCCGGGGCAGGCAGGGCGGGGAGGGGTCCCCAGCAGCGGCGGCGCTAGGGCCCCTTCCTTACCTGGGAAGGGAGACTTCCAGAGGTGGGCGGACTGAGACTGCTCCTTGGAGCAGTACACCTGACTGTCCCAGCCATTGGAGAGAGCCCAGTGCTGGTAGCCTTCGACAGGGATGAGCGCGTCGTGACGCGGCTCTGGGTGCCCGCTGATCCCGGGCACCACCGACACGTCCAGGTAGCCGGGCATCGCTTGGTAGGAGCTGGCGAAGCTGGGGTAGAAGGCGAACTCCTTGGCCCGGGAGGACAGGTCGTCACCGGGCAGGGCGCCCGACGGCTCCGGGTACTTATCGCCCGGGTGGTAAGCGCAAGGCTTCTGCTGCAGGTTCACGTTGTGCGACAGGCGGCAGCCATAGTAGCTGCCACCGAATGGGTAGCCGTAGCCCAGGGTGGCGCTGGACGAGGTGGGGGGTGCCGGCGGCGGAGCACATTGGCGCGCCGCCTCCGGGGCCGGGATGTCCGTGTAGACGGCGCCCTGAGGGGCGCCCAGAGAAGCCGGCGGGCGGCCCAGCACTGCGTGCGGAAGCAGGTCGCGGCAGTGGCTGGCCGGGCAGCTGCTGCCCAGACCGTCCATGCTCGGGGCTTTGCCGGGGCTCGCTCCGCTGCAGCCGCCCCCTGCTCCACCCGCGCCACCGCCGCCACCGCCGCCGCCGCCGCCGCCGCCGCCGCCGCCGCTCTCCGCCGCGCTGTCCTCATAGACGTACATAAGGCTCTCCGGCCAGCGCGGATGCAGGAGCAGCGAAGTCGTCATGACATGATCTGCTCGAGCTTTTTAAAAACTCCACTTGCCAGAGGCTGCGAGCTAGGGAGACACCTCACCTCGCTCCCTTTTTCCCTCCCCCATCCCTCCTCCCTTCCCTCCCCACCCCTCCCCTCCTCCCCCTCCTCCTCCGGGTGCTTCTACCTCCCTCCACACTGTCCCTCTACGCATGCGGAGACACTTCATTAAGAAATCCTCCGGCTCCCGCCCACCTCGGCTGAGCACGCCTCCTGCGGCCACGTGATGGCGGTCAGCGCACGTGATACCCTGGCGGGGTCTGCTGGGGTTCCCTCCGGTGGAGGTGGGGTGGGGAGAAAAGAAATGAGGTCTTAGCTGATTGGCTCTCAGGAGGGGGAAAGAAGGAGGGAGCCTGGACCTTTAAAGGGACAGGGCGACGCCCCCCTGGCAGGCCGGGGAGGGGGGGGGGGAGGCTGAATTTGGCCGACGCAAAGGGCACTGGGGAGGAGAGGACTGTTCCTGGGCGCCTCCCCCTAAGTTCAGGATGTGCACCAGGGAGACAGAACGCTATCCTCAAACCGATCGCTTTGATTGCCTAAGTCTTCAGACCGGGGCTTGGAGCTAAGAGTAGGGACGAAACTGGATTTAAAAATAATAATAAATGAAGAAACTAGAAACCAGGCAAGATCGATTCCAGCTCCGGCAGGCTTCGCTCCAACTCACGGTTGGAAAGAACCCCACGACGCCTTGCTGCAAGCCTTTGATGCCGCGACGTTCCATTCCCGATCGTCACCACTTTCCCCAAAGCCTCAGTGGTCTGAAAAAGACCCTCTCCTCTCCTTGCTGGTAGCGAGAGAACTGGGGAGATGTGATAGCCCGTAAGCACAGAGTTCGTCACTGGGGTGGAGGGGATGGGGATCGAGCAGCGATGGAATGTACGCTCAGGGAGAAATAGAGGAAGAATCAAAGGAGAGAATTGGGGTGGCAATACTGATAGTTCAACATGCAATAGAAAGAAAAGCCTGAGAGTGAGGTGCCCCCCCCCAACAGGAAAGCAGGATTCCGCTGGGGAAAGCAAAAAGTCTTCGATGCTACTGAGAGTGCACCCTCTTGTATAGGTATTCAGTAGGAAATGTGGAAAATAGGGAAGAATGACGCTGTCCCTTGGAGAGGTCGCTCCCACGTGCAACCTTGGGCCACCCGGAGGTCTGACTTCAGTCCTGCAGGACCCGCCTCCGACGCAGTTCCCAGTTGAACAACCTCTCTAACTTCCACGGTTTTTCTCAGAGGCACTCCGTTTTAGCGCAAAATATTTTCATGTGCTAAAACTGCCCCCTATTTCAAAGAAAAATAAAGACCAATTTACTGGTTTTTAAAAATCTTTCCTCCTAACCCCCCTTCTTTTCCAGGACCTCAATAGTCACGCCTTTGGGGGAGCATCTTCGTGGACTTGAGCCAAGTTCCCTTTCAGCACAGGGCCTCCCTGAGAAGAAGAGGTAATAAAGAGAGGGGGGAAATAAAAGAGGGGAGAGAGAGGGACTAGGACTCCCTTCTTCCTGCTTCTGCCACGGGTTTTTAAATGCTGGGTGCTCACGTTCGCACAGGTAGGCAGTAGGCCACCCCGCCAAGCTGTACCCCACTGGACCCCTCAAACCTGAGAGCAGTGGCCAGGTCTGTGCAGAGACCCCAGAGCAGCCACCCTCCACCCTGGAGGACAAGGCGGTGTTTGACGGTTGAGATCGCCCAGTCGTAGGTGAGTTAGGGTAAGAAACGCAATTCTTTCAGCGTGTCCTTCATCCAGAAGAGTCAGCTCAGAATTCAGAAAGCAAACTTGGGGCTGGGCTGGCAAGAGGAGGAAAAACACAACAGAAAGAGATTGGAAGCATATGCAGGCCAGCTTGCTTAAGTATTGAGGGCCATTGTGGTGGGCAGAGGAGAGATAAGCCAAGGGGAAGGTAGGGTTTGGCTGGTGTCTGCTCCGCTGGAAAAGTGGCTCTACCGAGGTTGGAGTCCAAGGTCAAGGTAAAATGAGGAGAGCAAATATAGCCTGACCGTCTAGACTGGGTCCTGTGACCTTGGCCCCTGGCCCAAGGCTTGTCTGGGGTAGGGGTGGGTGGATGGGGAGGTCGCCTCGGGTGGTAGAGGTGGTGCAGAGGCCCTCGCTTCCCTTTCTGTGAACTGCCGAGCCCCGTGGAGAACCGGGGCGCTAGGGCACTGTGGACCCAGCTCCGTGGGGCTGCCAGGAGAAACAAAGGGCCTGAAGCACCTGCCCCACTTTTGGGGCTCGCTCCCTGGTCCTGCCTTACAGCAGAAGCCGCCGTGCAGCACACACAGGCACGTCTCCAGACTTTGGAAATAGGGGCCAGAATGGCGGGAAGGATCTGGGTACAGGACAGCCCAGCACTAAATAAAATTAATGGCATGTTCTTTTCAGGGTTATATAAGGGCATTAACTATTCCTATTGCAGTGAGATATAGATTTAATTAACCCGGCAACTTTACAGTTCTGTTTATTAGCGACACTATGAGGCCAAAATTTAGGGGCGACAGGAAAGAGAAAAAACCAAATCGCCATCATCAGGAAAACCAAGTGAAGATGTAGGCCCCCCAAAGCCCTGGGAGAGTGGAAGGGCTGGGCTGAGGGGTTAAATTCAGGGGAAAAAGAACTAAAAGCTACTGTTGAAGTCGCAGACAGGCTAGGACCGTCCCCTCCCCATCTTTGCTTGGTTCCCCAAGACCTTGGTGCGTACAAACCCAGGCGTCACGACTGGGGCGCTCCGGGAACCGCGAGGGAGGCACGGCCTTGAGCCTGCGGGCCAGCGGCAGAAAGTAAAGCCTTGCTGGCTAATTAACTTTAAGCCTGGGGTCTCTTTTCCCCCTCCCCCAAAACATGTGGATCTCACTGAGACACAAAATCAAATTAAACACTCCAGGAGAATATGCATCACTGGAAACCTAGTAATTACATCTCGGAGGCAACTCCACCCTAGAAATCAGGGCGCTGAAACCTTCCGCTGGAATCCTCACCGCACCGCCCCCACCCCCCAAGCCCAAGGCCACACACCTCTACCCTCCCGGCTTGGGGGCTAGGACATGGGCATGGGCTTGACTGTGGAAGAAATTTAGGGAAAGTCAAGAGGAATGAGAAGAAATGTGATTTCCCCAGTCTCTAGCTGAGCTGTTGGTCTGGGGAGAAAAAAGAGCATTTAAATAAATATATGAGAGGAAAATGGAAAACGGCCCAAGCCTCATCGGGAATCTCTGGCTGTGCTCTAGGTTGTTTTTTCAGAAAGATATCTGATCTGTGGAAGCCACTCTACCCATAGCTTCATCTGATGCATCAAGTTCACAGCTAAGTTCAACTCATCCAGCACATGAAAGACATATTTAATGTACTTTTTCCATTGGAAGTGTGAGTGTGTGCGCGCGCGCGCACACACTCACACATTCGGACACTCGTGCCTGTAAGTTTAGGGATGTGGTCAGGATACACGCACTGTTCCAACACATGTCCCGGTGCACACACCCTAAATGTGTTCATGAAGCTCTACATCTAAATCCTCTACATACAAATAAAGTTCTGCTTGTCTCTCTTTTTTTTTTTTTTGGTACCGGGGATCGAACGTGGGTCCTTGTGCTTGCGCAGCAGGCAGCGAAACCACTGAGCTAAATCCCCGGCCCAGGTCTGCTTATCTCTTATCTGTTTGCACACTTAACTTACATGTTCATCCTACTCTCTACTTACAAAGACATCACCCAGAAACCAAGGGGCAGATATATCTATGTCTTTCTAAAGCTGGGGGATGGAATTCCTGACCCACTGCATCAAAGACAAAATCAGAGGTGTAACTTAGTATTTGCAGCATGAGGTGGCAAGCCTGGTGCACACACAGGGTGTAGCTTGGATTCTAGGGTAGGAAGAAGAATGAAAGAAAGAAGGTTAGTGTTAGCCTTATCCAAAGCCCAGATTTCCTTCTCTGGAAATTAGGCATCAGTTAATTTTTCTCTCTGCTTCTTTTTCTGCTTCCTCCATATTTTCCAGCAAAAAGAAAAAAAAAAAAAAAAAGGAAGGAAGAAAAAGGATCAACTGAAGCTCTGAAGCTCCTTTTTTTATGGGAGAAATTCCAGTTTAAAAAAGGAGGGGGTGGATTGAGACTGTAGGAGAACAAAGAGCCTCATCACCATGGGGTCTGGATCCTGGCCCAGACTTGGGGCCTCCTAGAGCCAGAGTAGAGTTTGGGGGGCTCTTTTCTGCCCAGATTCCTGGCTGTGGGCTGGAAGAGGAGATTTGTGCAAGACAGAAGACATAGGACCTGAGCTATTTAGGCAAGAAAGGAATGTTTGCAATTGAGAGGCCACTTGCAGAAGGGAGCGGGGTGGGGGTGGGGATGGGGGGGTGTTCGGGTGTTCAGAAAATTTCTATGAGGGGCACCTTTGAGTTTTGTGTCTGAGCGGGGAAACCCTCCCGCACACCTGGGGAGAAATTCTGCCAACAGTGAGACTGGGGGAGAAGGAAAGAAAGTGGCTGCACTTGGTGTTCCAGAGCTCAAGCATTGGCCCCTCTCTTCGTCCTCCTTTGGGAAGGTTGGGGGTCCCTAAAGAGTGTACAGATACAGATGCCATCTCCCAGGATCCTGGATCCCCCCCCCCAACCTGCTCTACTCTGGCCTCTCCATCCCCACAGCCCAGCCTCAGGGGAGGGCCACTGGCCTCTTCTCCCAGTCCGGTAACTCACCTCCTGGACAATGTCGGCATCCTCGAATCTTCCACTGTATTATTCTCCTACCCTGAGACCCAACTTGAGGAGAGATGGGACCAGTGGCTGAGGCATCACCTTGCTCCTTATTTTATAATTTTCTACTCTCAAACCTAAACTTGCCCCCTCTCCAAGCCCCACTTTCTTCCTTCACTTAGATATCAGGGAATCTACTTCTCTATATGCCTAATTAGGACTAGCAGCGCTGGTTCAGGTTTGGGGCCATCCCAAATGTTTCCTTTTGATTCTGCTTCCACACAGGGGTTCAGGCCTAGAC